GGCGCTGCCCGCCGCATGGGCCCCCAGCCTCGTAAAGGGGCGCTGAAAGGCCTGCCCGCGCGGAAACCGTCACCGGTTCGCCGAAGTTTTTCTCGGTGACGCCCGGGGGCGCGACGCGGGCGACCCGCGGTGCGGTGGGGTGGCAGCAGGAGCTAACGCGTCACCAGGCGCTGTTCCAGGTGCTTCGCAGCTTCCGAATCTGTTCGATGTTATTATTTTTCCCATTTTTACAGATAGGGAGATGGAGGCAGCCCGACCATCAGGAACATGCCCGGTTGGTGGAGGGGGATTGGAACCTGGGCTGCTGCTAGAGCTCACGCACCTGAACCGCAGCGCCCGGCCAGCCGCGCTGCTCCGAGAAAGCCAGGAGGACAGTTTGAGATAGGAAAAGCCTTTTGTTTTATAAATGAAAGGCTATCTTCATCATGACAGCAAATCTTATAAGCAGGTCACGAAGATTTACTTATTGGTGGCTCAAGGAAGACTTTTAAGTTGTGGATAAGAATTATTTGTAATTAAGAAATCACAGTATTGTAAATATCTAAAATTACTAAAAGATAATAGAAACATTCTCTTTAGAAGTTTCAGCCTTTTCTCTGAAAGAATGTTTTCCACTTAGCAAACTTTTACACAATTAGGCCAAAGGGCCACTCGCATCCTACGCTTTTCTGAGCTGTCATAAATTCCTGATCAATGGGTTTTAAATCAATGATATTTTGCTGTAGTTACTTAACTAGTATTTTGTTTTAGTGTTTTCTGTTTTTCCACTTCTATAGCTTTGTTGTTTTAAACCAAAACCTAATTTCCTTTCACATCTGGACTGAGGACTTGGCTAATTTGTGAAAAGGGTTGAGATTTGGGCATTTACAAATCAGGCCCAGGGACGGTAAACCTGAGCAGGGGCAGCCAGAACTTTCCATATTCTCTGTTACTCCGCAAACAACCTGAGCTGTTACCTGTAAAAAGTGTTGGTCCTGTAGTAATTCCCATGTTTGCGAGTCTGTCAGTTGCATAACCAGCTCACTTACATAATAGGGGAAAGTGTAATAGAAAGTTCACATCAAGTAATAATGAAATTGACTGTAAATGAATGTGTAAAAACTCTAGTTAGATAAAATAACTAAAAACTCTAGTTAGACAAAATAACATTTATCTCTATGACTGTGTTGAGACTGCTGTATTAAATACGGTGTTCTTGAAAACACTCAGTATTTTACAAAGTCAAAAAATCTGTTGTAACCTTCTTATAAGTCCTTCAGAAAGTCCTTGAGACTCCTGCTTTACTCTTTTCTCATACATCTCCCACCCCACATGAGGCACAAAATCAGCTGATGCCATGAAGTGGTGTTTGTGAGAGCTCTCTGGTGCCAACCCAGACAGCTGTCCTTGCTATACCTTGACAAATCCAAGTAAAAAGGAACTGGGGAAATGGAAAAATTGAACTAACATTATTTTAAAAAACCCCAGCAATGTGTCTTCCTTAATTGCTACCAATCTATAGAATTCATTTTCTTAAGTTTTTTGGAGATATAAAAATGTGTTCTCCTGCACAGGCTGGATTATGTAGTTGGTTTTGACTCCAGTAAACTAACTGCTGCTTGTCAGTGAGAACCATGCTCACGTGCCCTGGGCTTGGCGAAACAGATAGAAGAGCGGGCTTGCTGCCATTCCCTGAAGGTGCACTGGAGATAAAGCATCTCTGAACGAACCCGGGCTGACTACCAGGTTTTGGCAGTTAAGACTAGCCAGGTGCCATTGAAAAGCCAGTGCCAGCGTTCAGAGGCAGAAAGCAGCTAATTCTCCCAGTTGCAGGCTAGTTAAACGAAGCCCCCAAATGTGGTTTGGGTAGTTCTGTGGAGACCCTGTACATTCAGGAGCTGAGGGTTCCTGGCTGCAAAATATAGTCATGTGTAGGAACTGTAGCAAACAGGACAAATACTTCTGCCCATATAGTTTGCTTTGGTGATGTTCTTATAGGCCAACTATAGGTTTATTTGTGTTTCTCTCTACAGTAATAATATAAAGCATATATAAAAATTCCACAGCAAATTTCATGTTCTCTGACAGGGACAATGAGCTATGTGTAAAACCTGTATAAAAAATGCTGTAATATTTACAGGTAATCTACCTTTTTAGGAGGAAATAATTTTTTTCTAGTCTCATTCATAGGCAAAACCAACCAACCAAACAAAACTCAGTGTTTTATTGCACCCAAGACTACAAAGAGAGCCCTGTAAGGTTCAGTCCCTCTCCACAGAAGGTAGTCGACAACGTGCTTTCCTTTCCCCCAAATTGAAAACAGCTACCACCCAAATAATGTTATCACCCAAACTCTTCAGATCAGATATGGTTACTTCCAGGTTATAGGGACTGAGTTTCCTAATAGTGGAAAACCTCCCGGTACTGGCATCAGGTGTAACTATGGCAACTTTTGAGGAACAGTGGAATCCAAAGGCCAGGTAGAGGGCTGGAAGCTAGAGTGGTGGGAGATTTTCTAACCTGGCACTGCTTCTGCCTGTTTACTGAAGTGGTGACAGGGCTCCCTTCTGAAGAAGAGCTGAGTGAGACTTGTTAGGATGTTTTTGCCTTCTGTGGTTCTGTGCAGGGAGTGTCAACTCCGTATGCCCCTTCCTCCCACCAGTTCACTGTTCTCGCCAAAGTGGGGTGCACACAAAGACGGATTAAGGTGAAGAATAAAATGTCACAATTTCTGTTTCAATAGATCTCTTCTTAAATGTCTATAATCTGTGAAGGTTTTATAATACACTTAATATGTAGTACATGGAGGTAACATAAATAATATGTTGGGATATGGGGGCGCGTCAAAACACTGATGGGGGATAAAAGGTGTGTGATCAAAATGTCATTGACTT